AACTCAGTTCTCTACATGAAACGAGGATTTTATCAGAGACACCAGTTGTAAAAATTCTTTCCCAGTTTTCTCCTTCCCTCCTAATCTTGGATGCATTGGCTTTGTTTGTGCAAAAACTTTCCAATTTAATGTAATTGAAATAATCTATTTTGCATTTCATAATGTTCTCTATCTCTTGTTTGGTCATAAATTCTTCTGTTCTCCATAAATCTGACAGGTTCATTCCTTGCTTTCTTAGTTTGCTTATAGTATCAGTCTTTATACCTAAATCATGTACCCATTTTGACTTTACCTTGGTATAGAGTGTAAGATGTTGGTCTATGGCTAGTTTCTGCCATACTATTTTCCAGTTTTCTCAGCTGTTTTTGTTAAATAGTTATTTCTTATCCCAGAAGTTAGAGTCTTTGGATTTATCAAGTGTTAGATTACTATAGTCATTGACTGTTACGTCTTGCATACCTAACCTATTCCACTGATCCACCACTCTGTTTCGTAGCCAGTACCAAGTAGTTTTTATGATTGCTGCTTTATAACACAATTTAAGATCTGGTACAGCTAGGCCACCTTCCCTCTCATTTCTTTTCATTACTTCCCTTGATATTTTGGACCTTTCCTTCTTCCAGATGAATTTTGTTATTGCTTTTTCTAGCTCTACAAAATAATTTTTTGGCAGTTTGATTGGTATGGCACTGAATAAGTAAATTAATTTAGATAGAATTGTCATTTTTATTATGTTACCTTGACCTTCCCATGATATTTTTCCAATTATTTAGATCTGACTTTATTTGTGTGAAAAGTGTTTTGTAATTATGTTCATATAGTTCCTGGGTTTGTTTTGGCAGGTAGACTCCTAAATATTTTATAATGTCTACAATAATTTTAAATGGAATTTTTCTTTCTATCTCTTGCTGCTGGGCTTTGTTAGTAATATACAGAAGTGCCAATGATTTGTGTGGGCTTAGTTTATATCCTGCAACTTTGCTAAAGTTGTTTATCATTTCAAGTAATTTTTTACTTCATTCTCTAGGATTCTCCACATATGGCATCATATCATCTGCAAAGAGTGATAGCTTTGTTTCTTCGTTACCTATCCTAATTTCTTCAATTTCTTTTTCTTCTTTGATTGCTACAGCTAACATTTCTATCACAATGTTGAATAACAGTGGTGATGATGGACATCCTTGTTTCACCCCCCCATCTTATTGGAAATGCTTCTAGCTTATCTCTATTACATATAATTTTTGCTGATGGTTTTTGATAGACGCTATCTATCATTTTAAAGAAGACTCTATTCCTTTGTTCTCTAATATTTTTAATAGGAATAGGTGTTATTTTTTTTTCAAATGCTTTTTCTGCATCTATTGAGATAATCATATGATTTCTGTTTGTTTTGTTGTTGATATGGTCAATCATGCTGATAGTTTTCCTGATATTGAACCCTGCTTTCCTGGTATAAATTCTTTGTAGTCATAGAGTATTATCCTCAAGCTAAGTTATTGTAATCTGTTTGATAATATTTCATTTAAATTTTTTGCATATATATTCATTTGGGAGATTGGTCTATAATTTTCTTTCTCTGTTTTGGTCCTTCTCAGTTTAGGTATCAGAACCATATCTGTATCATAAAAAGAATTTGGTAGGACTCCTTCACCTATTTTCCCAAATAGTTTTATTTAGTATTGGAATTAGTTGTTCTTTAGATGTTTGATAGAATTCACTTGTAAATCCATCTGGCCCTGGAGATTTTTTCTTAGGGAGTTCATTGATGGCTTGTTCAATTTCTTTTTTGAAATGGGGTTAAGTATTTTATTTCCTCTTCTGTTAATTTGGTCAATTTATATTTTTGTAAATATTCGTCCATTTCACTAAGATTGTCAAATTTATTGGCATACAGTTGGGCAAAATACCCCTAATTATTGTTTTGCTTTCCTCTTTTAAAAAAAAAAGTAGAAATAAAGAACTAGAAATAAAGTAAATCTCCTTTGATTAGGAAATGGATAAATAAGTTGTAGTCCACAAATATAATGGAAATTACTATGCTGTAAGAAATGAATATGATGAATATGAAGAAACATATGAAAACAGTCGAACTGAAGCAAAGTAAAGTAAACACAACAAGGAAAATAACTCATACAATGACTATGAAAATGTAAGTAGAAAAGGGGTACAGTGGAAAAGGCAAGGGCTTTTCAGTCAGGCGATATAAGTTCAAATCCCAACTATTCTACCTGCTGCCTATGTGACCTTGGGTAAATCACCTAATCTCTAAGCCTCAGTTTCCTAATTTGTAAAATAATAGGGTTGGCCTAAAGGAGTTCTAAATCTATGAGGCTATGAGCCCATGGACAAAACAATCAAAAATGAAATCTGAGAAATTATAGTGCCCAAGTTTGGCCTTCACCGCCACTCTTTTGCTGAGGTGAGTTATAATAGGTATTGAACACAGTATCCATAGGCAGACTTTTTTGATATGTTGGTTATTTTTGCCTAACAGTTTTTTTCTCTTCTTTTCAATTCTTTGTTATAAGAGATTGATTTCTGGGAGGGAGAGTGGAGCAGTAATTGGGAAAACTGGAAATACAGGTGATATAAAAGCAAAATAGATCAATACATTTTAAAATACATAGTATATTGTATTTTCTGGATTTGGACTTTTTAATGTGTTTTTCTTCATTTCCACTACTTAAATTGCCTGTATTGTCTTTAGTAGAATAGCTAGTTTCAGTTATTCCAGGTATCTTCAAATTACCTGTGTATTTATTTTTAAAAACCATATTATTTTTGCCTTAAAAATATTACAGATAAAAATGGAAGCCAACTCAATTTAAATTTTAATTATAGAAAATTTCAAATGATTACCTGTAACTATTCTTAATTTATTTTAATTTTTTTCAAAGTTGCAGCTTTGGGAGCAAGAAGTTTATTAAATTATACCAAAACAAATGGCACTGAGAAATGTAACATATTATGGTACTTTTAACTGCCACTAAAATATGTTCAACCTCAAGTTTAAACACTTCACATTCTAATCCAATAAGAGGCTTAATGTGAGCCAATAGTAATTGACAGAGAAAATGGCAGATCATGGCCAAGCCAAGATTCAACTAGAAACCCTATTACTGCACTCACTGTCAGTTGAAATAAATACTTTTGTTAGTTTTGCTTTTGTTGACTTAGAAGTTTGTTTTCATTGAAAAAAGTGAATGTATTTATGCAGGAGTTGTAGTAGAAAATATTCAATACTTTTGGCCTTCGTGTCTCCCTATCCCACCTCAGAAGATTTCACACATCTTTGAAGTACACTCCACAGTTTGGAAAACCTTAGAGAATGACTGCAGCTAGGTGTCATAGTGGATAGAACCCAGGCCTGGAGTCAGGAAGGCCTGAGTTCAAATCCAGTCTCTGACATTTTCTGGCTGTGTGACCCTAGGCAAGTCATTTAATCCTGTTTACCTCAGTTTCCTCATCTGTAAAATGAGAAGGAAATGGCAAACTATTCTAGTAACTTTGCCAAGTAAAACCTCAAAATGGGGTCACTGAGAGTCTGGTACAATTCAACAAAAAAGTATCTCTAACTCTTGACATGTTATAGTGAATATACCTAACTGCTTCTTTCTTCCAAGTGTAACCTGTTTTGTGTGTGTGTGTGTGTGTGTGTGTGTGTGTGTGTGTGTGAGACCATCACATGGAAGAATGTTATATTCTTCAATTGAAATAACTTAACATCTCAAAATATTTAAACCTTTCTCTGGATGGAGTAAAAATTTTAGGAAGGTATGAAAAAGACATGCTTTGCTAGCATTCTCTTAGGCTTAAAGAAAAGAACTGAGCTCATTTATTTCTTTCAAAGTTGTATTTCTGTTACTATGCCTCTTTTCTATGTCATCTGTTTTCATTTCTAATTAAATGCTTACTTCTGATCTTTGACTAGCAAGCAGGGGTAGAGATCCATAGGACCTTTGTTTGTAAATGATGAACTTGCTAATAGCTTACAGGAGAGGTCACTTTTATATCCTATCACAAAGCACTTGTACAGCTCTAAATCTATGATTCTATGACATGTTCTCATTTGATCCTCATAGTAGCCCTATGAGGTAGATTGTGTAAATATTATTACCCCTTCCCTCATTTTTTTAAGAGAAGACACTGAGGCTAAGAAAGTTAAAGCGACTTGCTTAAAGTCATACATCAAGCTAGATTTTTTGACTCCTACTTCAGAGGTTCATTTTTCTTTCTAGTTAAATAAAAGCTGAAATAAAGAAACAGAGACAAGATTGTGTCCTTTAGAACTTACTTTCTTGGGTCTCCCTCCTTCTGCCCTTGGTTTAAGCCAGGCTTTATTCAGGCTCCTAGTCCTAGGACCCTTCGACCCTTCAAACTGCTTTTCTCTCTCAGTTTATGTTCCAGCCTAGTTCAATCAGAGTGTCACCCCAGGTTTGCTTCTACTTAGATCACCCCCCCCAAGTGATGACTTACTCTGCAGTTTTCATGAAGGGTCTACTCTTTTTGCCTTTCCTTTCTTCTATTTTATAGAATCACTACATTTAGTAGCTGCAAGGGATCTTAGAGACCATCTAGTTCAATTCCCTCACATCTCTTTAATTTTAATTAGTCATTAGTTTTTATGTAACTATTACTTCAGAATAATTTGCTCCCTAACCAGCAACCCAGGGAGCCAACCCTGTAACTGTAAGTTCACTCCCCCAACTAGGTAGGTCCCTAGACAGATGGATATTACTACTTCTAGGGTTCTAGGGGTAACCCTATCCTCTTTACCTGTAGTACTATGCTTTCACTAACAATCAGCCAGAAGGGCAGCTAGGTGGTGCAGCAGATAGAGCACCAGCCCAGGAGTCCACAGGACCTGAGCTCAAATCTTGCCTCACTAGCTGTGTGACCTGGGGCAAGTCACTTAACTATGATTGCCTCCAAAAAACCTAAAACAATCAGTCACTATACTTAGTCCTTTAATGAACATATTTATTCAAGCGGCTTTGCAAGCACAGTGGTTATAAAGCAATTTCCCCCAAAATCTGGGGGCATTGTCTCCCACAAATACATACAGAGTCTGTGTGGGGAAAAGTGGGCACCAATTTAAAGGAGAAAAGTAGTGAGCAATATATGTAGGAAACATTATGTGACCAAGACAACTTAAAATTCTGAAACTGAAAATCCCTGATTTCCTTTCTTTTTCTCAGAAGGTTGCTGTGTTCATTGTGGGGCATGGTATCAGCGATCCAGTGCTTGCTGAGTAATTGGGTTGGTTCCTCGAAGGACGTGAAATCTTTACTGGACAAGTGGGCTTGCTCTTTATAATGTGTGGTGCCTTGGCTAGACAAGTCAGTGTACTGGCTAAGATGTGTTGAGGTTACTCAGCTGCTGAGCTTGCTTCTCTCTGGGCTTGGATGCTGCTAGCCACCGTTCAGCTGCTGCCAACCTGGGCTGAGACATTGGATTCTTCTCAGAGTTTAGCTGGATTTGCTAGATCCCTGGGTCTGATCATCAATAAGCAGCCTCAGTCTTTCACTGCCTTAAGTCACAAGCTTGACTGCGTAGTACTGTTTTCAGCTGGAGTGTTACAGCACTCTTTTCAGTCAGAGTTATTGTTTGTTCTTCATTCTAGAAGAGGACCAATGACATCAGCAGGTCGACATTTTGACTTGCAAGCAAACTGGATTTAAATGATGCAATACTGTGCAGAGTCATCAGCCTCACTGCCTCCTCCAGACTCTTTGGAGTCCAGTGGCAAGACATGGGTCTAGATGACTGGGAATGGCCCTGGATGCAGTGGAAGACCTTGGGATTTTTAAGCTAAGGTCTTACCCAGGGTCTCAATCTGAGGCAACAGCCGTTCAGTTAGAGTACTGATTTGCTCAACAACTCTTAGGCTAGGATTAGTAGAAGCCTCTTCACTTTGAATCCCTCAGAGTCTTCATATGCGATTGAGTTATTCAAGCCTCAGATTCCAGTTTGGAGAGTGCTTTACTAACATTTGAAAGGGCCTCAACTTCACATTTCCATTACCCTTAAGGCTTTCAGTTTTGTAAATGTAAAAGGAGGTGGAACACTATTCAAATAAGAAGAATACAAAATAAAGAGAAAAAAAGTACTTCAGCAAAACTTACTCAACACAACTATGGAGTTTGACAGTATACACAACGTTCTAAATCCCCCCCCCCTTCCATCTCGGAAAAGGAGAGAGGTTTCCCCCCCCTCTTCTCTCCAGTAATATTTAGTTTCTTTTTTATTGTTGTTTTTTTTTTCCATTTACATTGCAACCCCCTCTTTTCAAAGAAGGGAACCAGAGCTCCAGAGGAGTAATGGTTCAATATCACACAGTTAGTAATAAGGGCATATAAAGGACTAGAACCTGCCTTCTCATTTCTAATCTATGAGACTTCCTCATTCATTCTTAGGTTTAGTTCTTCAATTTTCCTCTTCCTGACTCTCCCATAGGGGAACAAGCAATGGTTCTGCTGTCAAAGGATCTGGGATGAAATCTTCTTTCTGCCATTTACCTACCATTGCCACCTTGAGCAAATCTCTTAACCTGACTGCCTGTTTCAGGCTTTAGGTTTATGATCTGCTTCTTTGTATTATATCAAATTTTGGAATCTGATATTTAGTGCTAGACCTTAGAGGTGATTTAGTCCAACCCCTTCATTTTACAGATGAAGAAACGGAATCTGGAGAAGTTAAGTGGCTTTCACAGAATCACACAGGTGGCAGAGATGTGATTTCAGTCCAGGTCCACTGATTCCAAATCCAGCATTTTGCTCCCATTAAACCAGATACCGTGCCTAGGGTATGCGCAGCCCTGTGCTGTGTAGTGGGTGTGCCTATTGCCTTCATCTAAGTGTTCAATCCACTTCGTGTATGTGGGGGATTTTGCATTAATGAGACCTTAGAGACTAGTATGAGACCCTTAAAAAAAATTAACTGGAGGGGGGAGGACTTCCAACTGGGTCCAACTGATTCCCCCAAACGGGACAATGTCTCACTGTCATGGTTTAGCCAACACACCCCAGATTCGTCCCCCTCCCCTCCACAGTCTAATCTACGTGCCCTGCCAGCTATCTGGGTGTGCTCAGTCCCCCTGCTCTCCAGGTTCCTCTTCAGACTGATGATCCTCCGCAGGGCCTCAAAGAGCAGCCCCTGCTGTCCCGAGCAGTTCTGGGACACACCTCTCGGGAGAGCTGCGTATTTCCGCGTGGTAGGGAAGCCCCGGCTACGTCCGCTGTGCGCTCTAGCCTGGGTTCCAGGTCCCTGGGAAGTTCTTTAAGGAGCCCAAGCCCCGAAGCTGCTCTGGCTCCTACTCTTCGGCCCCGCCCCCTCCCGAGAGAAGCCGGGAGCTCGAAGCTGTGAGCTCAGAGGCAGCCCAGCCTGGGGGCGTCACCGAGTGCGGCCACCCAGCTCCAGCTCCAGCTCCAGCTCCACGCCGGAGTCCTCTTCTCTTCTCCACCTCCTCTTCTTCCCTCCCTTCTCTTCCCGGTCGTAGAACACAGACCCAACGCCCAGCTAGGCACCGAGCCGGAGACGGACAGCATCTGCAGCCGGGACCGTGGGGCAGAGCGAACCTGTGGAGCCTGGGACCCCGGCGTTCTCAGAGCCCGTAACTGCTGGAGGCTCCAAAGGAAGCCCCTCGGCTAGGGCTTCGGCTGCCGTGCCCTGCTGCTCACTGCCCGAGGCTGGGGAGCGATGCAGGCTGCACTGTGAGTCCCAGGCGGCAGGGCCATGTCCGGCTCTCGTTGCCAGACATTGTACCCCTTCACTGGGGAGAGGCACCGCCAGGGTCTGCGCTTCGACGCCGGAGAGGTGCTCACGGTGCTGCAAGTCCCGGACGGGGGCTGGTGGGAAGGGCAGAAAGAGGACGGACTCCGTGGCTGGTTTCCAGCAAGCTATGTGCAGTTGCTAGAGGTAAGGTTGTGGGGCTGGGCGCTGGTGGGATGAAAGGGCCCTATCTAGCGGAACTGGGAACCAATCTCCCTATCTCCACCCAAATCCGACGCCAGCTTCGAGGATGGCAGAGCACCAACCACGCCACCACTGTGAGTGCCAGTGTAAGGATGTGCCAGTAGCCAGGAGAGGCACTGCTGGGGGTGTGTTAGGGCGCAGCGCCTTCCTTGGTCAGTTCCTGCCTGACCAACTTAGAGCTTTGCTTTAGGGGACCGGAGTAAGGGGTGCGAAACTGGAGCTAAGTGGGGTGAGGGAACGGAATGCAGCCCACTCCTGTCCAAACCCCCTGCAGCGCTTTTCTGCGTCTTGGGAATGGTGCGCAGCCTTCGAGCTTCGTCCTCACTCCCACTTTGCTTCTCTTCTACACACAAAGTGCCCTTCTTCCTCTTTTCTCTCCTGTTTTGTTCTCTCCCTCTTCCTGCTTTTTTTTGGGCTAACCTTCTCACTGAATGAACTGAAAACTTAAAATTCTTAGTTCGAGACCGGCCAGCTTCCTTGAGTCCGATTTGGTTTTCTCCAGTCAGAACCCTTCCAAGGAACAGACTTTTGGAGATTTGCGGTAGGACTTTCTGGGATATGTGGGACAGACCAAACCACATCGTGGAGAGGAGTGCACAGCCTGCCAGGGAATAAGAAATGGGCCTCAAAATTCCCAGTGGGTATGAGTGGGTGTTGTAGGGCCAGGTTATGAGTAAAAGTCACAAGCATCAGCAGCAATAGCTTCCCATCTGGAGATCATCCAGCAGGCATTATCTAATCACAACCAGCCATGTCCTGGACCCTAGACCCTTCCTTCCAACCCATCCTCTCCTCCCTCCCAAAGAAAGAACCAGCCTAGATTCAAGAGTGGGGAAGTGACTTGCTCTTGGGGTGCTAAGTGGACACCAAGTTACTTTTGACGTTAATGACCACCGTGAACTCCAACTAAGTAGAGTTCCCCTGTTTGTGTTTCAGTGACACTTAGGGATCCAAGTCTTCTATTTCATCCACATTACTCACTGCTTTATGGCCATGGACTTAGGAGGGAATGGGATAAAATTATTTTGAAAGTTAGATCAGAATCCTGTCACCCCCTTAAGGATGTAGGATTTAGAGTAGGAAGAGACCTTAGAAAATGCCCAATTCAGCCTTCAACTGACAGAAAAGGAGACTGAGGCCCAGAGAGATAAATTGACATGCAGAAAGCCACACAAATGGTAACTAGAACTAGGAATCAAATCTAGCTTTTCGGAGTCCAGATTCTGTGCTCTTGTCTTGCAACGCAGTTTGATGACTTTCATCAGATCATCCTAGGAGTGCTGTGAACATGAAATTCTTAAGATTTGCAAAATGGGGTACACAATGAAAGGAGATAATATATGCAAGATGTTTTGCAAAACTTAAAGCAGTATACAAAAGTCAGCTACCATCATCATTAACTACTGTCCAATAGTTGGCTAAAATCTTGGGGTCATGATCACTACTACCAATTAATGAATCAATGAGATGAAAACATCAAAGGATCAGGATTTGAGCTGTGTCTTAGCAAAGACACTCGTGTGATACTGCTTATGTGACTATGGACAGGTTGGTTAACCTTTCTGAGCTTTAATCATCTCTTTTGTAAAATAAGGATATGTGTCTAAATTTACCTCTGAGGCCTCTTTTAGTCTAGGATCCTAATGTTACAGAATTCCCACTAAAAGCCTGCCAAATGTTATACAAAAACATTGAGAAAAATAGAATATGTCTACTGATTTAGTACAGTTCCACATTAATACTGAGAATTTATTCTGAACAAATAACTAAGAAAATATTGGTAGTTCCACTAGTGTGTGGGGGCAAGGGGTTGCATAAACTGTTAGCAGGGTCCCTTTTTAGAAATATATTTATACTACATTTTGAAGCCAGTTGTTTGTATTTTGGCATGTATATGTCATATATATGTTATTGTATCTCCCACAGTATACTTACACTGATGTTTGATATTTGGTGAATTTCTTTTGTTGTAATATGGAAAGCATTAACTTATACAGAAATTATAGAATTTGAGGTGTCCTTATCCTCATAGTTTCCCTCTTTGAGATTTAAACTGTGGCACAAGGTGATGATGTATCTCTCTTATCTTATGAAAACCAGTGCCAAATCTCCCTGTTTCTGAAAACCTTGGTAGGGGCCCATGGAGCCTATACCTTTCAGGGAATTATTCATGTTGAAATTTGGTTGGCAGAAGACTGACCTGATCAAGGTAGCTTCTGACAAGACTTTCTTTAATGCAGTGTGGCCTGAACTTTGTTTTGGGAAGATGTGAAACTAGTGAATTTGCTCACTGTCACTGTGCTGTAGCATTATTCTAGACTCCCAGAGTTTTATTTCTGAAGGATTTTGCTAATTTGAGAATGACAGCTCACTGGTAGCAGCAACCTGCGCTGTGGAAGTTGCTGACTTGTTAGGAATTGGTTTTTAGTACCTTATTTGTTTACATACAGGTGGTCCAATCTGGGGAGACTAACTGGCCCAGAAACAAATATTCCTTCTTCCCTGTACTATATTCCCCAAACTTTTTTTCATACAAAAGCAATCCATATCAGTGTTATACAGTAAGACTACCTATTCAGTTTTCTTGAGGCAAATCTGAGCTGAATCATTACAAAGGATTATTTAACCTCCAGAACCTTCTCTGAACTTTTTTAGTATTTGCTTTGTTCCTTTTCTGTACACTTAACCACACTGTGTGTGTGTATATCTTACCTTCTCTACTAGATTATAAGCTCCTAATGGGCAGGTACCAAACCTTATTAATGTTTATAACTCCTATGTCTCTCCTAATGTTTGCATCAACTATGGTGCCTTGCAGGTAGTGTAGAGGTTTAACAAATAATTGATGAGTGAATGGACGAAGCATTTCACTATGCTTCACATTTAGTTGGACTCTAGGTCAAATCATGCTTCTTGTGTATAGTGTGATATATTGTGTATCTCTTTTATAGAAAACATATAGCATGGATTCCACGTCTGTCCAAACCTATGTTCAAAAAAGGCGCTCTTTGTAATGATTAAACTGTGTAGGTGGTTGTCACTGAATACTCCAATATGGATATAGTTTTCTTCCATCTTACGTACTCAGACAACTCACTTTGGTTTAGGTTTTTGATGCCTGTTGAAAACCCTGCTTTTCAGGAACAAGGTCAGCCTGCCATCTCATCTTTTGATTCCTGCAGGCCAAACTGGCCTATTTTTTGTCAGTTTCCCAGCTGCCCACTCTAGTGGACATTAAAGCAGCAATCATCAATTTCATGCTTATTCTCTGTACTCTCTACAGAAAAGCCCTTAGCTTAGCAACAAGTGTGAAGTATCCCTGATTTTGCAGAATAAATGGGAATGTTACTACATGCAATGAACATGCTTTTTTTTCTTTTTTGCCTAGTTCTGTCAGAGAGCCTCAAGCTGTTTTTCTTTCAACCTGTTTCACTGAATCCAACCTTATTAGGTGCCCCCTCTGTATTTAGCTAAGAGTTGTTTAGTATTTTTCTGCCATAATTAAAATTAACTTACATTTATTTATTACTTTTCACAGTGGTCTCAGATGTTATTTCCTCTCATCTGTACAATGACTTTGTGAGGTAGACAGGGAAGAAAACGATCTCCATTTTGTAGGTGTTAATACTGATAAGTCTTTGCTTGTCTAAGTAAAACTCAGAGGTGACCTAGTAGTGTCAGATCACAAAGTCCACCCCAGATCATCTGACTCTAAGTCTAGAACACTTCCACTGCATCAGGAAAACCCAGATGCTTCCTTCCTAATTCCTAGCAGTGGTAAAGCTAAAAATTTTTGCTTTCCCAGCAAAAAAATTCAGAAAACCCCTTCTCACAGCCTGCAAAATAATTCTACCTGACAAGTTGAACTACTGATTTTTAGCAAAAGAGTATCATGCAAGTTAAGCTGAATTTGGTGTTGTGTGTGTTATATGAAATATTTTGGAAATTCTTGGAAGCCTCTCATAAAAGGTGGTCTATACTATTCATTTGACAGTCACTGACTAATAAAGACCAGTTTCACATCTTCCGTCCTTTATGTGCTTATTTGGCAGTTTCTGAATAGATGAATCTACATGCAGAGTCAGGATTTTGCTTTACACCAATGGTATTGAAGTCGTATTCAGGAATATATTCTTTCTAAAAACAGATCCTGAATATCTAACACTGTAGATATCCCCGATTGAATGAGCAGAACCTTTTGGTGGGGTTACTACTGTGACATCAGAGGTTGGTTTCTTGGGGCTTCTTCAGTCTCAGAGTCCCTAAACTTTGCTGTGGTTCAGACTGTCAAGTCAAATCAAATGGGTACCTATTACGCGGCATCCACAGTTGCAGTGAGCCATTTTGGCACCAGGGGCAAGTAATATGAAACAAACCGCCAGCATAAGACATACAAGAAAAAAGATACACATTCCATTTTGGCTATGGTAAAGTAAAGGACTATAGCTGGAGTGTATTGAAGCTTTCCTGAGGAGTTGTTAAATTTTGAGATTGAGCATTTACACCTCAGAAATCAGTAAATGCTAGCAATCAGGGCTTGATCTATTGTTTTGTTGTCTAGATTTGAAGTGATAGAGATTAAACTTAAAACTGTATTACATGTACTATTTTTTTTTCTTTTTGGAGAACTTTAACCATCACACTCCTGACTATATAACTATTTTCTGACCACTTCAGAAAGTTGGTAACCAGGTGATGAATTCTTTCAATCATATCAGCTCTCAGAGATCTAGCAAAGAGTAGAAGTGCTGAGATATGTGTCAGTAAAGACAATATATTACAGGATGAAATTATCCATCCTTGATCTCTTAAAAGGAATATATAGAGAGGTATGGAGGGCAATAGGAAGAACATTGACCTTGAAATTAGTAAATCGGGATTGTTTTAGTTCTGTTACTAACTTGCTGAGATGACCTTGAGCAAATCACTGCTCTTGGGGCCTC